TATGGCAACCACCAATCGGCCGCCGGCCTGCGGAGCGTCGCGCCGGGATTGGACCAGAGACAGAGAGCCCGCCCCCGGCCCCAGCGCCCGGGCCCCGCCCACCGCACTCTGGCCCCGCCTCTTGCGCTCACCTGAAGGATCAGGAACCTAAAACCCGGAGTTTCCACACCGGGTCGGTCCCCTCGCTGCAGAGCGAGCCCGCAGACACTGGCTTCCAAACACGCGCCGTAACGGCCTTCATTCTAATGGGACGGACCTGAAGGGGGTGCGGCTGCGTGGCCATGACTGCTTGTTTTTACTGTTCTCCCAGTTTTGAAGGTCTCAGCACCCCGAAAGCAGGCTGCATCAAACCGCACTGAAGGTTTGGCCCCGCATTAGGACAGATGCAGAAGCACCAGAATTCAGCCTGGCAAAAATGCAACCGCATTTTCACAAATAACTTTGGCAAGATTTGAAATTAAAGTTCTTCAGAAATGAATAAAAATGTGGTATTTGGCCAAATCCAGTTAAAAAGTACACATTTGACACAGAATTGAATAAGCATGAAATAAACATTGAGTAAGAGAAAATAACTCAAGAAAATAATAAAGTTTAAATTATTTTATTACAAAAATTTATATAAAATAAACCATAAACACAACCATTAAAAATAAAACAGACTCAAGAATTAAATACTTTCAAAGTTATCACAAAAATCTTTGTGTAGTTAAGAAAATCCTAAGTCCAGAATACAAAACCCACCTGAAATAATCTAACCAAACACCACAAGTTACTTAAATGAGATAGAGCTTCCGAGATGGTATAAAGAGAAAATTTAAATCTTATTTGGGGACAAGATTGGATACACAATTTGTCAACATGCTTTCTTGTTGTTGAAATATTACAGATGTCCCCCTTGGCAACATACTTTTAAAAACAAACCAAATCAGCCACTGTTCCCGAAAACCCTTCCCACACTATGCTGGAATTTGAAAGGACTTAATAACGTCAAGGTCACACAGAAAAAAATATGATTTTTATTGCTGAAATTACAAATATTTTTTCGTTTGAACCGACAGAAATTTTCAGTATTAAGTCCAAAGCTTCTAGAGATCAGTTAGCCTGTGTTAATACTTTTATTTCTTTTCCTTGGTTAAAAAGAAAGGCTTCAGTCTGCGGGTGACACTATAAAGAATCCATCCCCCCAACCCTGTAGTACCCCTCACAAGCCAGACATCAGCGCCCACAAATGACCTTTCCACACATCTGCTTTTGAAGAAGTTGCCACCAGACCCCTGCATCACCCGCCTGACTCATGTAAAGCCATTTCGCAGTGATTCCGAGACAAACTGTTATTATTTGGGTATCGCTGTCAAACGTGCGATGTCACACAAAGGACTGAGTACCTGCAAGTACCTGAGGCTGAAGCTCCATGCAGACAACAAGGATCGGAAAGTGGACCCAAGTATGTAAGGCGGTGCACGTTGATTAGGCCCTCACTCACTTTTTCTGAAACTGTTCCAATTCCCCCTGTAACAACGCTTGACAGTAAGCAGCTCTACGCCCAGTCAGGACAGGCTGATGTGACACGTGATCGTCCAGTTTAAAAAGTCACAAATGTGCGCTTTTCCCCGTGGGGACAGAACCTTCTGGAAGCATTCTAGGGATGGACACTGCAGAGCAGGGCTCCCCACGCACAGCAGTGCCCCACAGGGTGAGGGAGATCTTTTAGGACTGCATCCTGTAAGGAGCCGCATTAGGAATTCTTACAAGTCGCTGGATTTCTCGGAGCCTCCTTACAAAGACTTCCCTCCCCCCTCCCGTTTCCACAGGCAGCTCCGGGAGGTGGGAAAGCTCGGCCATCACGCAGACACTTTCAGTTTCTTTTTCTTGGCCTTCAGCACGGGAGGCAGAGAAATCTTAAAGGCCGTCCTGGAACGACACAGGGAGCAAGACGCCCTTTATCGCGCGAACTCTCGCCGCGGGCGGGGAGCCAGCCACCCAACCCCAAAGATACTCACTCGCAGGTAGTACAGATGGGGCTGAAGTTGCAGAATACTGTAAATGCAGAAAACAAAGAAAAACCAGGATGGCTGAAAACCACACCGTGGAGACACTCTCTGACCTCCCGCGACATGGCAAGAAGGAACCGCCTCGGCCGTGAACTTACTCGACAAGCACACAGAACAGACGTAGCCGATCTCGATGAGGTTGCGGTGGCACAAGCAGGCGGCCCGGTAGTCCACGTGAATTGGGGGAGGGAGGGTTAACTGAGATCTCTGGTCCTGATCAGGAAGAAAGACCCACTGAAAAAATAAAATAAAATAAAAAGCCTTTTTAGTATTCACTCAGCAATTACTGAGCCCCTCCACACACAGGCACCGCTCCGCAAACAGGCAGGCACACAACTCTGCACACGGCTTGCAGGGTTCAAAGACTATGGGAAACACTCCCCCCCGCCAGCTTCGAGACCCCTCTGACACCCCTTTCGTCCTTTCCTCCAATGACTAGCACCTGCCATCTGCGCCCATTCGTTCCCCAGGAGACGGATCTCAGGTGCCAGGCGCACCGTCACGGCTCCTTACCAGCAGGTACTGCAGGAGGGAGGGCATCTGCGGCACCTTCAAGTACAGGCCCCCTGTGATGTCACAAGCCTGCAAGACACACCAGGGCCCCTGCCAAAGCAGCACGCACTTCGCTTTTCCAGGGGGACGTGCTGCAGGTCTCCCAACGGGGAGGAGACGACACAGCGGAGTGAGAGCAGTGTTTCCCAGAGCACGGACCAGAACTGCCGCTTCCTTCCGGGATGTGCACGCGGCTTCCTTTTGCCCTTGGCTCACGCCTTCCACCTTTCCTTCTGTTTGTTTGCTGCCGATGAACTTTATTCTTGCCACGTTTATTCAGTCATTATGTTTTTAAAACAACTCTGAGATATAATTCACGCCATACAATTAACTCAGTGTGGCTCAGGTGGTTGGGCGTCGTCCCATGCACGGAAAGGGACGATTCCTGAGCACATGCCTGAGTTGTACGCTTGATCCCCAGTAGGGGGCATACAGGAGGCAGCCAATGAATGTTTGACTCTCACATCAATGTTTCTCTCTCCCCCCCTCTCCCTTCCTAAAAATCTATATCTATATACACAGAGATCTATCATTCTCTTCACCAATTATTAATGGTAACTTTTGAATAATAGTATTTGAAGGGATTTTTTAACCTTTTTAAAAAATACTTTTCTGTGTTGCTTATATTTGTTTTAATGTGTGAATCACTTTTCCAAAGTCAATCGAGTTATTATGTAAAATAGAAAGTTTGAAGGGGCCAGAGAAATGTTCGCTCTCTAATCTATACTGTCACACAGGCTAATCCCCAAAAATGTGTGACGGTCAGTGAAAGGCAAGTAACAATAGGAACAGAACACACCCCCTTTCACAACCAACACCAAGCATTCACCTAAAACGTACCTGTTGGAGGAGTCCTGAATCGGAGTCTAAAACACAGGCATCGATCAAAATATTCTGAAATGAATATTCGGAAAACATTACAGGAATTACGACAATGGCTAATCCCCAAAAATGTGTGACGGTCAGTGAAAGGCAAGTAACAATAGGAACAGAACACACCCCCTTTCACAACCAACACCAAGCATTCACCTAAAACGTACCTGTTGGAGGAGTCCTGAATCGGAGTCTAAAACACAGGCATCGATCAAAATATTCTGAAATGAATATTCCGAAAACATTACAGGAATTAAGACGACTACTTTATACTCAGGATCTATGTGCCAACCTCTACTCTTGAAATGCTTATTTAACATGCATAATTGTGCGAGGCAGACATTCAATTAGCATACTGCAGCCCAGGCCGGCCAGGCTGTGGTCATGGAGCCGGGGGAGGCAGCGGGTCAGCCCTCGATGGCCTGTCCACAAGGCCCCTGGTCTTTTCACCACCTCATGTGGTTACTCCCAAATGGAGAACAGTGTGTGCAACTACGGCATTTAGATTATAACAGAAGTTTTAACACATCAAAGGAGAAAATGACATGTATTAGTGACAATTCATCAAGGCATGTAGCACTCTGTAAAGCCAGAGACTCTTAGCCTGGGTCCTCGGATGGGCCCAATGGGGCGCATGAACACCCTGAAACTGCATTCACACTGTTTGAGTGCACGTCTTTCTGGGGGCTCATTCTCAAGGGGCCCAGGACTCAAATGATTGTACGAACTACGGACTCCAGATTCCTACTCCATTCGTAAGGCTGTTTAGTCAGAACACCTCCCTCATTAAGTGGGTCATTAAGAAAAAGAAAGAAAGTAGTTCCCCATTACGAAGCGAGCGTCCCGGAAAGGAAGGGCGTGCGCTCACCTGCTTCTGCGCCGCGAAGATGACGTTCATGAAGTTCATGTACTGCAGGGCGCTGTCTTCTGCGGCCTTGATCACCTGAAGTCACAGCCCATCAGGACCTGCAGGCGCATCCCCCTCCCCCGGGAGGCCCCGCTACCCTGCAAGCTCAGCCGAGAGCGCCTTTCTCACTGTCTGACAGGCCATCCTCGGTAACAACCCTATCGGTGTAAAGGAGACTGAACCCCCCGCCCCCCCTGCTGCTCCAGGGACAGTCCTTGCTAAGTTCCTGGAGAGCAGCTACGGGCACGTCATACACTCGCACCCACACACACTCATGGACAGTCCTCCGTCCAGTGTGCTGCGACCTGCTTCTTAGGCGTCTCTGTCCTTCCTGCCGACTCAGCTGACTTCCGCTATTTGCCCACGTCCCTGCAGGGGACGCTGGAGGGGCCCGCAAGGCTGGGTGCAGACGGCGCTGACGGACTCTCCGGGATGAGCTCCTGAAATCAGTGAGGCCGCCCATCCACCCTGACGACCACCTGCCCCGGGAGAGCCGCACTATTCCATCCCCATCAGTGACGCCACGCGGGACCCCCAGCTGCCGAGGGCAGACACAGCACAAACACAAGCCCAGGATTCACGTCACACATCTCACCAGTATCCTGGACTTCATCTCCTGATTGTCTGCAAAGAGAGGAACGCGGGCGACCATGGAACTGAGGCTTATCGCGCATGGTCGTAAGGTTTTCTAACCAACTCCACGCAGCCCACCCAGGTACAGGAGTGAGGGAAGTCAGTCCCATAGGAAGCGCAGGCTCCTACCTTTAACCTCCTTGTGCATCCTGTGGATGTCTTTTCTCAGCATTAAGGAAATTTAAAGTATCTTTTACTTTCACCAATATTCATAGTAAACAGACAAATAACCTCACATTTCAGTTCATAAACCAGCATCCCCAGACGGAGAGAGACCTGTTCCCTTTACCGTGATAGACACGAACCGAAGGACTAGGGTTTCCAAAGCTATTTGTGCCAGGAAACGGAAATGACCGCCACAGACTGTTGTATGACCCCCACCCCCAGAGTTGAACCCTGGGACCAGTCAGCCAGCCGGCCAGTCAGGGGGATCTGGAACCTGAAGCCACACACAGGGTCAGCCACCACCCTCAAAGTCCGAAACAGAGCAATCACTCAATACTGTCCCCAGCAAATCCAAGTGCTTAATTTTGGGAGAACATCACACAGACAGACAACATCGAAACGCTTAGAGGGGTCGTGGACCCCACGCTAAACGCAAAGTAACCCGCTGGCCTGTGGAGCAACAGCTGCTCGCTCACTGAGCGTCGGGTCAGTGAGTGGCTTTTATCATCCAACAGAAATGAAAAAACAAAACACCAACTCCCCAGTCTGCCTAACTAAGAAGCGAGGAAGCAAGGATGTGCCCTGAAGGATTGTGAGCAGGCCCTGGCCGGGAGCTCCGGAGGTGAGAGCGTCATCCCGATACACCAAGGTTGCCGGTTCGATCCCCGGTCAGGGCACGTACAAGAAGCAACCAATGAATGCATGAGTAAGTGGAACAACATGTTGATGTTTCTCTCTACATATAAAAAAAAGCACTGGCGTTCTCCCATTCTTCCCACTTTGAGTTTTTTCAGCTTGTTCACAAACACTGCCAACCATCGCTTTGCAAGGCTCAGCCTTCGTTCATGTGGGCACAGAGTCCAAGCGACATCCCCAGGAAGACACGTCTATCCCAGAAGACACCGCAAATGAGCACACCCCAAGGATACAGCACAGAGCTTTGGCGAGGGACCCTGCCAGCAGAGGTTCTGTGTGCTGCCCCTTTATGTCACCTACAAGTAACAAGAAGAAGCACTAAGAAGGGAATTTCTTGGCATTTTCTTGAACTAAAATCATTATTAAACCAAAGTATTCTTCATGAATGAAAATAACATTTTAAACAAAATAGGAAATATATATTTTAAGGAAAAGTCATAAATAGAAGGAAAAATGGTCCAAAAAAGAGGAAAACCAGATCAACAGGACAGTCTTAGGAGCTGAAGAGTGTGCTTCAAGAGGCGGAGGCAGGGCAGGGCCAGGCTGCAGCGTCAGGGAAATGCCGCACAGACGTTAACAAACAGCAAGTAGCAGCACCAAGAACCTCAAATCCTTGGATTTCAGACCCCCCATGTTCAACTCCATTTTCAAAATAACAACAATGGAGGGAAAAAAACTCTTACTCTTGGTCATCAGATCCTTGATCTCCTCCACAATGACTTCATTTGCTGCTGTCAACAGCTCGTACTTCCCGTCTTTGCTCCCCGAGGGGTTATATTCAGAAGCGGGGTTGCCAGGGTCCCCGAAGAAGTCTCCAAGTCGCCCGTTCTTCCCAGGGTACAGGAATCGGCTGAAATGGTGGGAAAAGCCTCGTTACACCAGGACGCAGCCCCCTCCCTAGAGAGGGTGACATTCAGCAGAGAAAACACACAAAAGCCACATTAACTCTGGATCACAAGATCTATAATAAATTCCATTTTTTAAAAAAAACAAAATGTATAGCCCTCGCTAGTGTGGCTCAGTGGATAAAGCGTCGGCCTGCAGACTGAAGTCCCGGGTTCGATTCTGGTCCAGGGCACGTGCCCGGGTTGCAGGCTCGATCCTCAGTAGGGGACATGCAGGAGGCACCAGATCCATGACTCTCTCTCATCATTGATGCTTCTCTCTCTCCCTCCCTCTCCCCATTAGGAAGGTGGAGAACCACTGACTTAGCCTGTCACTGCTCTGATTGACATCTTAACCAGATCGGCGTCCTCTCTCCTGATTCTGAGAGGATGTTGGCAACGACGGGAGGGGAGCACTCGGGTGGTGGCCTGTGGGTTCTCTCCACACACAGGGAACGAGCAGCCTGACAACCGGCCACCGACCTCATGAAACACGTGGGTAAACAAGAGTCCCGTCTACTGTGAGGGACACGTCACTAATCAGAGAGGAGCCTCGCCTCGCATGGGACTGGGTTCCACAGTCCGTGTGTCACGTGACAAGTACACAGGGTCAGAATTACTCATGAGAATCTCTGCTGGCACATGGCCCTATTTGCATACCCTATTTGCATACCCGCTGCAGCTCTATTGGCCACACAGACAGGTGTTAGCACTGGTGTTAGGAAGGGTCACTGTTTCTTCAGCCCAGCACCAGATGGCGGAGCTGGAGTGGGTTAAAGAGCCAATTTGTAAGAAAAGTCCTCATTTATAAACACCGGAATCACACCCAGAGGCGTGCAGAGGTCACACTGGGAGTGAGAGGTGCCCAGGAGCTGGGCTGGCTGAAGGGAAAGTGGAGTCCCGGCGCTCTCCCCGCCCCCGGGCAGGCCCGCCAGGAGAGCAGTGACGGGAGCTGCAGGCCCATCTGATGATGCTCCTTTCTGCCAGGGCACAAGGTGAAGGTGTAAGTGAGACGAGCACTGCCCAGCTCTACTGGACACCAGCTCTACTGGACACCAGCTCTATTGCACACCAGCTCTATTGCACACCAGCTCTACTGCACACCAGCTAGGGAGGCAGTCGACGCCCACACTCTCCAGGTGTGCATGTGCTGCTCCTTGAGTTGTGAGTACTGTTCACGGATACAGAAAAAAGTCAGTGCGACAGACAGTAGGCACAGGACACGCAACTGGCATGCAGGTCCCACGAACTCGAAGAACACCCTGGCGGTCCTACCTTTCCTGAATGTGACTCGCTATCACCGCGAGTCTGTTGGACCGGTTCATGAATAAGTGAGAATTTCCCAGCACCATCACTGCGTCTATGCATTTCGATAACGTGAACTATTGAAAGAGGAAGACGCCAGAAAAGTCAATTAGCTCTGCACACCCCTACATGAGCTCTTCAAATCACTGAGTTCATCAAAAATACTTTCAGGCAGAAAAATAAAATGCTGATTAAGTTCACTTTATTTTTCAAAAATAAAACAAACCTATTTAAATTTTCAGGTGGCAAAAGTAATGACTGTGAGCAAAAGTGAAGGCGAAAGGCCTTCTTATATACCAGTGACGAGTTCAAGATGAGCCACTTTTTCTGCAGAGGAATAAGGTACCACGCAGGGATGTGCGGTCTACCCGGCCATGGGATACTATGCAGCAACCAAAGGAACTGAGCTACCGGGACACGTAACAACACGGACAAGGCTCAGAATGATGATGCGGAATAAAGAAGCCAGACCAAAACCCCCCCGTAAGTACTGTTTGGTTCTATTCATGTAGAGACCTAGAAAATGCAAACGGATCAAGTAACAGACAACAGAGCAGGGGGTGCCTGAGGGGCGGGGGCAGGCAGAGAGGCGGGGGGGGGGGGGGGGCGATTACAAAGGGGCATGAGGACACTTCCCGGGGCTGATGGATCTATAGGCCCCTCATTTCCATTGTAGCAATAACCTCATGAATGTGTACAGATGTGAAAACATGTCAAACTGAACACGTTAAAGACAGTTCATTGCATGTCCATTCTATCCCGATAAAGCTGTTTTAAAAAGGCACCATTAATAAAATGAAAGACAAGCCACAAAGCCACAGGCCAAGAGAAGATATTTGTAAATCGTATATTCGATAGAGGACTTGTGTCCAAAATACGTAAAGACTTCTCCTCCAGCCCACAACCCTCCGTGCTGAGGTGAGGACTAAACAAACGAAAGAACAGAACTGTGGTCCTGGTTCCACAACTCTACTGGGGGTTTTACTGAGAATCACCCAATTGTACGTTAAAATGGGTGAATTTTATGGTATGTAAATACCTTATTCAAGCTATTTTTTAAAAGCAATATAAACACATACTGCTAAACTACAATTACCCAAGGGCCCCCTCGAGCAATCTTACCTGGGATTCCTTTAATGCTTGCTTCCCCCACCAAATTGGGTTGGTATCAACTATAATAACTAGAAGATTCAATTCATCTTCTGAAAATATGAACAAAAATAAAAAAAAAACATGAGCCCCATGGCAGGGAAGAGCTAACACCCTACATGCCTTTACGTGCCTGTGACCGGGCAGTGCTGAGATTACACGTCTAAGCTCCGTGCGTGGCCCTGAGCGAGCCCGCGCCTGTTCACTGGCCGCGTGTCTGTCTCTCCCGCTGGCCTGCAGCCTCCGCACGGGCCCGTCCTGCCGGCTCGCGGCTGCG